GTRTAACAACATTCATTTAGGGTATTACACAAGACTTTTAGAGATCCTGAGCTACTGCAATCAAGTTATTGATTGCATTATGCAGCATTGAAAAGGGGAGAAAGAATACTTTGGATTTTCGTCTGTCAAGATAAAAATAAACTGGTGTTAGATGTTTTTTAATTAGTCAAAATCACTGATGAAACAGTGAAATATCTAGCATCCAGAAGTCTGCACCTGAAATCTTGAAGAAAGACTTGCTGAAGAAAAGAATGGGAATAGTGCCATGAAAGGCATGTCAATAAGTTTAAGGTATTTTTGTGAGGTCATTTTTGTAATAAAAATATAGATTATAAGGGAACAACCTGCAGAATCACTGCAGACTTGTGATTAGTACTAAAAAATCACTGTGTGATTAAGAGCATTCACAGAATGTATGAACTGTTCACGGAGTGAACAATTTCCTTCTGAGTGCCTTCAGATTTTATTGTGTATGTGTACGTATGTGTAAAGATGACTGAAATAAAATTCTTGTTTCCCATTTTATCTCATTGTTTCTCCTTCACAAGCTGCCATTTGTTTCAGTATTCCCAGATTTATTTGGAAGAGTTGATGCATCAGAAAAAAATTACGCAAAGTTTTCACACATTATCACACATTAGTTGTGATTTCTTTATTTTTCCAGTAAGTGCTTTTTACCCTCCTCCTTTGGGATATTAGAAATTAAATATGTTCTGCAGGATCTATCCCTTGGTCGCATTTTAACCAGTAGCTAAAACAAAATTGCTTTATATATCCTAGTAAATGTGTGCATGTGTGGGGATCTCTGCCTGTGTTTATATACTCATTCATATTCTTATGTATGGATGTGTCTGTTATACTAGCATCCTCATTGGACTCTAAGCTGAGTTAAAATTGAGGTGGTTTAACGTGGTTTAGTGATAGGGGCTGAAAAGGTTCTTTTGCTGCTTGTAAAGAAGGAGAAGAGAGGAAAGGAGCCCCACATTCAGGGCACTCCAGATGAGGCTGTTGGATCTGGCTTTGCATTTAATCCTGCTCAGTTCTAATCCTTCCCTTGTTTTAAGCAAGAGCAGTGTTCCCAGTAATGTAGATTGGGCAATTTAGTGTTTTTTAAGGATATGTAGAAAATAGCATACTTGAGTGGGGAAAGTGAAAAAAGAGTATCGTTTGTTCTAATTAAGCAGATATTAACTTCATAGATAATGATTTAAAAAAACACATCGAATGCAGATTCTTTCTATGACCAATTTTGGTGTTAAATTGATGATTTTTATTTTGCAGTGTGATAATAATTGCCAATAATGTTGGGCAATTATATTTTGATGTGAGCTCACATAATTATGGTGCCTTAATTAAATGTTTAGAAATAAGGGAGGCTGTTTGAGCAGAGTACAGTGTCTGTAACTTGAAATGTTCTTTCTGAGATTCACATTGGAGTGGGTTTCAGAAACGTCCCAATGCTGTCCTTCTATTAGAATAACTGTACTTTCATCGTTTTCCAGTATAGTATGATAGTGTGGTTTCAACGCCTTTTTGCCTTTGCAGCTTTTCTGGTGATTTTATTTTCGCTGTATAGTTTTTACTTCTCAGTCATGAATTTAGTCTGTGTGAAGGCCAAGAGCCTCTATTATTCCAGCGGTATATAGGAGGCTGCACTGCTGTATCAGGAAATCTCAAGTAACAGTTTTATGATGTATGAGGATATTATTCTCTGCAAGTAATAACAAGCACTTCTATTTCCTCAGCAATATCCACATAATCAAACACTCGCAAGTGCTTTACAAAGAATTTAATTAAATAGTACGCCGAGTAACTGGATGCAGCACGCACACCAGCTATTATATATTCAGCCTTTCACGTTCATGCAGTTAGTGCAGCACGTTTTGGAGCGGGGCAATGCGTGAATGATATTTCTGTGAAAACATGCATCATTGCCCCATCTTTTGTTCCATGCATCTTAAAAAACACACCTTGACCTTAATGGATGTCAGCTCCAGGAGCACAGATTCCCTCCTCGATGCTTGAGAGGTGTGATGGGAAGAGGGGAGTAGAAATCATTCCATTGAGAGCGGGATCTGAAACATTGTGCCTCGGAAATCAAACACTTGCAGCATCGTAGATAAAGATACAGATTCATGTGCCTTTCACTACAAGCAACTAGATGTGTTTGGAATTCTGCTTAAAGGTATTAGAAATTTGGGGAGGAAAAGCAATACCTATGCAGGCAAGATCAGCCACCAAATAACATCATTTGGAAATTAGCCCTGCGACTGGTGATGTAGTGGTTGTGCATAACCAAGGAGGAGAAAAAGATTTATCATTTAGCAATAATACATACTCTCAGGAGAAGTTCRCTCTGTCAGTCCATAAAGTAAGGCAATGTGCAGTGCATCTGACCCTCAGTTAGGACGAGTTGAGGGCTGGCCTGTAGCGTGCTTCCCGACTCATTCGGCGCTTTGTTGACGTGCTCCTGGCTCCTACAGGGATTAACATTCCGGAAACCTACAGGGTTATCTATTGCTTTCTGTTTGTCAGTACAGAAAAGCACTTTAAGCATTAGCCTATGCATGAGAGCAGCTGCAAGGCTTGCAGAGCAATGGGGCCGTGCTGCATCACCGTGATGAGGAGGATTTCTCTGCTGTTATCTGCCTGCAATGCAGTGAGCTTTCCATCAGGCTGGAAGCTTTTATTGGTATGTGAGGTGTGTAGAGTATCCATCTAACCCAGCAGACCAATATCAATGAAGTAAATACTGAGAGGCAGCCTCTAATTAGCCTATAAAGGTGTTCAGCTGGCTGCGGAGGGGGAGGAACTCCATTCCTCACTGTTAAGGGACTTCATTCCAATTTGCTGGTTTCCCTGTGTTATTCCAAGTTGTTACTGACTGACATGAACAAAAAGTAGCCATTATGGCAAATGAGAGACATGAAAAGCTGCAGATAAACTAACAGGAGTGGAAACTACCAAAAAAAAAAAAAAAAAAAAAAAAAAGTTCAGTTAAAAGTATGGATTTTTTTTTAAATGTTATTTTTATTCTGATGTTGCTCTGCTTGTTTGAGGGGAATTGCTGAAAACTTAATCAGTGTAAATTAAAGACAGAATCAGTCTCTCTATTCCTCTTTTGAAGATTCTTTTGGAGGAAAGCTTAATTGCTGTAGGAAAAGTTATTGCTTTCTCTGTAGAGTTGACAGTGAGAAATCCCAGATTCAAGTTAATGAAGACTTGCTATTAACTTCAGAGATTTTACCCCGTTGTCTTTGTTGTTTCCCTCCCACCACTCCCTTTAAAATCCTTATTCCTTCTTTATACAACAGAGAGGATTTGAGGATTTTTTTTTTTTATTTTGCATGTCAGTTATAACAAACTGCAGTTACTCTGAAAGAAAAGTGAGGCATCTAACTTTGAATTTACAGGCCTGCCTACTCTTGAAATGCATTGTTGTGATTTTTGCATTTTTTAGTTCGTTTTTTTTATTTAATTAGTTTATTATTCCAGTGTCTGACTGTATAAAAATAATTATTTGTTGCCTTTTGCAAAATGTCTTTCCTTGCTGTTTGAATGCTTTGAGATAGCCTGTGTTTGCAAGTGGCTACTAGGCTCTCTTTGTGCTCTCACTTGAATTTAATAATGGTTTTGCTTCTTGGAGCAGGTTCCTCTTAGGACAGCTGACATACATCCAGGTTCTCCATTCCTAATATTTTGATGGCAACTTCCTATGAATCCCTGTGAATCTAAGAAGTGTTTGTGCTCTAATGGAATTGCTGTATCTAAGTAGATAAGATTTTTTTTCATTCTCAGATTAAGTAGTCAGCCTAGAGACTGTTTATCCCACACAGTGAAGCACCACCTAGACAGACCAGTGTTAATTGCAAATGTACTAGTTTTGGAACCAGAAATTATTTAGCAAAGAATGGAGCATGACAGTTAGGCTAATTAATTAAGAGGCCAGGCCAATATTAGTTCAACTAGAGAGCCTTRCTGATAGGTAAAGCTTCACAAACCCTAACAAGATTTCTGCACCAGTTGCTTTGGGCTTCTTGTAGACACACATGTTGTTTTGGGCTCTTTCCAGTATTTTTGTCATGGAACACAACTGTGTATTGGTTTATTCTCTATGTTATTTTACTATGAATCTAGATTTATTTCTGCATTGCTAGTCAGTTGTAGTTTCTTCCCAGCCTTCTGCAGGAGGATTTCTCTAWCACTTGAATGGATGTTGAAAAACATCCATCTTGTTGAACCTCATGCCACTGAGAGCAATTCCATACTGCTCTTTTCTTATATGCTGAGAGACCTTCCTAGATCTTTTGTAATATTGTTACCTGTTGCAAACTGGTAACAGTACTCCTGGAGCTGAATCCGACACTGTTGTTCTAGCCTGCAGAGCCAAGAGGTGGCTGCCAGCAGTCTTGTCCTCAGAGGATTCGTGCTAGTAAAATTGCACAGTGAAAGATACCYTATTTCGTAAAAACTAATGTTTTCAAAATCTGAGCAGCTTGACATCTTTTTATGTATTATTTTTCTGTGTTTCCCTTAGTGCTAATCCTTATATGCAGTTTGTCGTGTAAGGACACTTACATGGAGGAGTCACTTCAATGCAAAGATAAAAAATACTTTTGACAGAAGTCTTGTGTTGCTGCATTGATTAGGGTAAATTAAACACAAGAAATAGAATCAAACCCAGAAATAACYGAAAAAGAAGATATTTTAAAACAAGCTGAGTTCTATATAGAAAACTTTAGTTAGAGTAATATGTACTGTTTTATAGCAGTAGGGTGGTGGTCATGAAATATGTGTGAACATCTGGAGATGTAAGAACAAAACTGGCTGTTTTATTGATGATTTCTAGGTATTATTATTAGAGAGTTGAAATTTACAGTTTTTAAAATATTTTTATTATTTAAAATACCTTAATTAGAGTTTATGACTTTTATTTACAAGTAGCTCTTTAGCRCAGTAGTTCCCATAAGCAGTTAACATATAATTTTTTCTGTTTCTAGATCTGTTAGCTGTGCCTAAGCATCCGTATGCTGCAATGGAGAACTGGGGACTGAGCGTTTTTGTGGAGCAAAGGATACTGCTAGATCCAAGCATTTCTTCTATATCATACCTGCTGGATGTCACCATGGTCATCGTACATGAACTATGTCACCAGGTATTAAAGGTGTTCAGATATTTGGAATTAATCTTAGAAATCAAGCATTCTTTATCAAGCTGAAAATGAATATTTGCATTTTCACAAAGACAGTTACAACTTTCRTTCTAACTGTAGCCAAATTAACCAATAGTCCTGTAGGACATATCATTACAATGGAAAAAATGCAAAAAATCAAAATGAGACTAAAGGAAAATTAGCAGTGATGAACACTTGCCTGACCTCTATATGCTTACATATGAATATATTCTCTATATTTGTGTGTCGAGTAAGCAAACTGATAACCGTAGAAAATGATTTATTGCAGAACTACAAGCAGATAACTGTTGAGCTTTGTGTTTGTGTTAAAATTTTCTTTGGCTGATTTGGATATTGGCTTGCTGTTCACTAGCAGTGGCTAATTGAGTCTTTATATGTACAGAAAATTTTGTATCAAAAAGAAAACTTTGTACTAAACTCATATTACAATTTATTTCACATATCTTCTGTCTTATCTAAAACTAAACACATTACAAGTGTTTAGTAATATGGAATCCTTCTTTTTTTTTTTTTTTCCCTGCTGGTAACAGGCATAATCATAGCCTTCAGCTTAAAATGAATAAAATCCTCCTGTGTAATTAGCATGGCTTACATCTGTGACTTTACACAGGATTCTTTAAAAAGCAATGCAAATTCTTAACACTTTCTATAAATAAAAAGTATCATATAAAGGGCAGCCTTTGTAATGGCAAATGGATAGCTCAATCTTGAAAAAATACTATATAGTTCAAATTCATGTTTCATATTAAATCTATAGATGAATGAATATTAAGTCCTCAATGAAAGAAGGATTTTTTATTGAAAATTATTGCTGGTTTGTTCTTAGTACAATAATCCTATTTTATTATATGCTCTTTATTGTACAGTACAGTAGAGTAGCATACTATTCAGCTGGAAAAATCACAGTGCCTTAGGAATCAGATATGGAAAACCCACATCATGGTCATCAAATCCCTGCTCCCGAAGTGCTGGTTTCTGAAGTGTTAGATTCTTCCATGTAGTGCATTATTCTCGTGCTGAGTTCAGTGTTCCTAATTACAGGATTTCCAGTGCTTCCCTTAGAACCTTTTTCTATGATGAAATATCATGGTCAGTAACTTTTCCCCTTGCGATCAACTTAAATCTTTTTTTCGTGATATCATTCCATTACTRCCAGTTGTTCTTTGAACAATTTTAATAATTTCTTCTCCTTCCAAAGCAATTTATACTTCAGATGTGGGCAATTATCKCATCAATAACTCGCACAGTTTATTTGTTTGATTGTCATTGAAACAGAGGCCTTTTAATWTTGCTTTGGGAATGTAAGAGGATCTTGAAGGGGGTTAAAACTACACATGAATTTATTTTAGGGTCCTTGTGTGTTCATGTAGTGCTTTTGAGTGGCTTTTGTACAAATAAGAAGGCTTACTTGGTGGCCGTCTTGGTATTATTTGTAATGCTGTTTGCGTGAGTATTTTACTATATTCATGTTGCTGCTGTTTCTGCTTCAGTTCCATGCAGATCAATGCCTTGCTTGGCAACTCTTTTTTTGATAAATAGACAAGACAGAGAAAAAAACCAACCAAACAAAAGCAGGTAGAAACAATGTTATTTATGCTTTTCAGATGCAGGATTTRGTCACAGAGAATATGAACTGATCTTATTTGTACATAAAAAATTCTAAGGGCAAAAAAACCCTCCAGGAACACATGCTCTACCTGTCTGCCTGCCTGTTAGCACCTGAAACGTGGTACTGTCTTTATTTAAACATTTTTTTTCTCCTTTTTTTTTCTTAGAGGACTTAAAAGGCCCTCCACTTCTTAGCCTCTTAGTTCTTGATGGCATATAACAGTAGCTAGAAACAGTTAGGTTAGCTGCACGGGTATTGAACTGAGGCCAGTTTGGGTCCAGGTTTTCTTGCCTCTGCTATTCAGTTGCTAATTCTTCCTGCATTTTTCATCCTATTTTGCTGTGTGGAACTAYATCTGCTAACCTTCACTGTCACATGAATATTCCTTCCTTTCACTCGTTTGYACTTAGAATGACAGAGATTAACCAAAATCACTTCTGCAGGGCCAAAAGTAGAATCCCCATCTCTAGTATTTAGATCTTCATTTTATTTGATCTTTATTTTATAAAATTTCAGGTAAGTGGAAATGGCATTCCCATAAAATGTATATTTTTTTAAGTGTATCTTTCCAAATCCTTGCCTTGTTTCGTCATAGAGTTCTCGCACTGATTTTAATCCCATAACTTTGAGATTTACTGAACAAATCTTTCTACAGTAGTAGACATTTCTGTAACTTAGGCAAATGTAGCACTTTGCTAATGGTGTATCCAACAAAAGAAAAATGTGAAGAATGGGGATGATTATCTTTAAGAGGTAACTGTTTAGAATATGGGTTCCAAAGTATCAGTGCTTTCGTGCTTGTGGTGATGGTCTGCAGCATTCGGGCACAGAGAGAAAATGAGAGACATCATTACAACAGTAGAAGCACATTCTCTAATTGTCAAATAATAAAGACAGAATTTTATGCCCGATTTGCCACATTTTGTAATGCCTGACCAGATTGTTATTTTAGATCTGTTTTAGGAATGGCATATTAAATTTACCTGTCTAGATTTGGTTTTGTCACCTTACATGTTGTCAATAACTAGTATTTCAGATAGAGTATTTTCTTTTTAGAACTTYAGAATTTTATATATTTAATTAAAAAATTAATAAGTGGAGGAGAAAGGAATGTTGCAGCTTAAAAACTTCCCCTCCAATACTAATATAAAAGCCCAAAGCACAAATGAGATATTAGTCAGTGCACGTAAAAGTAGCAGCTTAAGTTGACAGCTCCAAATAATTATCATAATTTATTAAAGTAATTATATTAAAATAGTAATTCATTTTATTTCAGTATCACAGAGCAGCCCCATCCATAACATTTGAAGAAAAAGTGATTTAGATGTAAGCACCATGATTTTTTTTGTGGTAGGTGACCAACCTGAGTGCAAGACTCAGTATGACAGAATGAATTGAATGGGTATGAATACAAAAGGAAACTAAATATTTCCAAACCATTGTTTTCTTATAATCTGTAAAGAAGATATATAGAGAAGAGTGTCCTTTCARTGTGCCTAAAATGAAAATAAGTTCTTTCTCACTGTCAGGGTGATCATAATTGAGAAACAAGCAATTGATTTAATCACACATATTCCTTTTTGCCTTGAAAATGAGAAGATATAACAATCTTCACTCAGTCCAAATTTTGTCCATATTAAAATATACAGTCAAACAAAGAAAGTGTTATACTTACTGTTGTCTTCTCAGATATTTATCACCTAGGAAGGTAATAGCACCTTTCTGTTTGGAAACTTGGCCTCAATAATTGTAACTTCTGTGACTGCTCTATCTCTGAGAGTTGCCAGTATTCAAGAATTGTTAGTCAATTCCCAGCATTTTCATATTGGCTATTTTAATACCTGTACAAATATTTCTTCCTTTCATTGAATAATTAAATGAGTACTTTTTATCACTGCTAAGTAAACGTGGAAAATTCCCAAGAGTAGTACTACTGTGAAGGAAATGCTGYCTGGAGACTTCATAAATTCTGAAAGCATTAAAATAAATATTTTCACTTTTCTGCTAAGAAGTCACAACTATGTTCTTGCCTAAGTCAAATGTATTTTTATCTAACATAAATCACTGTTTTATTTTYATAGATAATTTTGTTAATGCTTTTGCTTTGCAAAAGGATTTATTATGAACTTTATCTTTTATTTTTTGAAACCTATCTCTGAGTAGTCAGAGCATACCAGATGTTACTAGTTTCATATTTGTTCAGCAGTCTTCATGTAACTTAAGAAATAAACTTGGTGATGTTCTGCTTATTCTTCTGTCATTACCAACCATTTAACTTATTCTAATATATATATTTACACCTCTCATGACATACTACTCTTTTCAAGTCACAAAAGTGAATAATGTAAATAAATTCATTTTTAATGTTTATTTGTCTTTTCAGGTAAATGTTCTTTAGGATCTCTCTCTATTGATCTTGTTGAATTTGTTCTAGGCATTCAAGTACATAATGATTAGTGAATGTCCATCAAGTTGTTTCATTTAGGTTAAAATCATATTGAACGTAGCTTTTGTTAGCCWTGTTTTTTCTGCAGAAATTCTTAAATTCATAGTCACCTAACAAAATTCGGCTTCTTTTCTCCCCCCCGGTCAGATCCTATATACTGCACATTGTGTAGCAACCTGATAATCAGAGTTGCTCTCCTGTGTTCTGTGGACCTCTTCATCTCCTCATCTGTGTCCTCCACCTCATGCAGAATCTTTAGTCATGACATTAATCTTTCTTTGGCACTCGATTCACTCCAGAAGGATATGTGTGGAAGAAGACAAAGCTTTCAAATAAGCAGTTATGAAAGCAAAATTGCAACCTGTTTACTGGGCAACTCTACTTTCATTCACTCCCCCCGTCTTTACAGCAACAGCTTCTGTGCTTGGACATGAGTCTCTCCCTCTGCCATACTTGCTGCTCCTATTCTGTTTATTTTTATTGCTTACTACCYTATGAAAGCTCAACATTTTCTCACTTGATGATAAATTAATCTCTTTTGGAGTTATTTTAAGAAAGAAAAACTGGCATAGAATTTTACTGAAATAGAGTTTTGGTATTTGTTCAGGGGAAAAAAAAGATACTACAGACTGTGAAATATGTTTTCAAAATATTGTATGTGCTTTTATTGCCACTTCTGTTAAAACAACCAGATTGCCCAAAGATATTGCAGTAATTTAAAGTGATCCATGAGCAGTAGAGTTGACGATGCATGATTTCCTGTGAATTTTTGTCCTTTATTCCCTTTTCAGTGACAATCCCAGCTCTCTCTAAAATCGCCATGACAGAAGTACAAGGAGGAATGGAACTGGCAGTCAGATAGGACCCTTATGCATAAACATAGGAGGCTAATGGCATTTTAGGTACCCTATACCTCAAATTGCTATTCTGGATGGCTGCAGATCTCCTGTATGTGCTGTGTTAAATTCCCCAGGCCTGTGTGGATCCTCAGATGCTGTGGAACAATCTGTGTGGCACCAACAATCTCCTTCGAGGCAGCTGAATCCTGCCTGTGAGGAGATGGCATGATGGCATAAAACAGCTTTCTTTAGGAAGAAAAGTTGTGCCTAGCTTTCTTTAGGCAATGAATGGACTGTCAGGAGTATTATAAATCTTCTGGGGCAGACAGGTCTTCAGGTCTGGGATATGGAGGCTGTGTTCCCAGTCTTGCCAGTACTCCCATTATGCACAGTGGTGTTTCCAAGTGGTGTCTTCCTGAGTTAGAAGCCTGTTTCTCTCTGTTCCCTCAGTTAGTCCCTTAAATCTAGGTGAACATCTACCTGAATTTCAAATGGATGGTATAAAATATTGTTATTATTAAAATTTATGAGTAATATGTTCCATTTAAATGAGATGTGAGCATCTTTTCCTGAATGTCGTTTATCCTAACCTTCTTTGCAGTGGTTTGGTGACCTTGTGACGCCAGTTTGGTGGGAGGATGTGTGGCTAAAAGAAGGTTTTGCTCACTATTTTGAATTTGTTGGGACTGACTATCTCTACCCAGGATGGAACATGGTAAGTTTATGTTATTTTGTTAATTTGGAAACTCCTCAAAAAGGTTGCTTTCCTTTTCTGTACTACTGCTTCTATCACAGACATGGACTGCTGAAAAATATCAARTGATGCATGCACGTATCAGATGTCCAACAAAGCAAAATCACTAGGTGTGAAATAATTTGACAGCATTCCAAAAGCGTAATCTGCAATTTATTACAAAAGAAATAAGGTCATGTCTGTCATAACCTAGTGTTAAAATAACTAATGCSTCTCTGCTGAAAACCATTTTGGATTAAAGCAATTGTTATTTAACAAGGACCATTTTTGAAAATGGTCAGATTATTGAATTTAATCCACAAACACAACATAATTAGAAAAGGAATATGTGAATAAAATATAACATAAAACAATATATTTTTTACTTACAAAAATTCTGTTCTCCTCTCCTGGAGTTTACTTACTTTATCTTATTGCTACTATTTTGCCATCTAGCAGTACATACTTAGTTAATATGGGGTAACTGTAYTGAGAATTTAGGTTACAGGGTCCTTGCTTAAGGTACACAATTGAGCATACTTAATGAACTTTGCATGCGAATTCTGGAGCTTTCTGAAGGAGAACTAGCAAAGGCATGCTAGGATATTCTTTTGGATCTGCTCCTTGTGTCATTTCCAATCACATCTCAGGTTACTTTTAGATATCAAAAGCTGTAGGCTGTGAATATTATGCTCAATGGAAAAATGAGAGTTAATCAGATCAGTGGATAGGGAAGTAATGTAAGAGATCTTCTTGCTATATAGATTTTATTGTCTGATAGAATTTTTCTGTATGCTATTGTTTTGTGTTTATACAGTTTTAATTACTTGAGAAAATATTTGTTATGAGTACAGATTGTCTATAAAAATTTGTTGTGTCTGAATATTTTGATTTTCTCTTGCATGCTGATCTATAAAATGKTTTTGTCATTTCCTGCAGATTTATTTRGTATTGTTACACCATTAGTTTTTGCATACTATAAAATTACTTAGAATTTTTTTAGTAGTTGTATACAGGTACACTTACTTTAAGGTTTGCTAATTTTGAAGTTGATTTCTGTGTATTATATTTTTTTATTTCAGGTATTCATTTATAATTGTATTGTTAAAAAGGAAAATAAATCTTTATCTGAACTGACATCTGCCTTGTATAGGTAGGCTTGTTGCTTCACCTAGCTTTGGCTTTAATAGAACTCATTCTTTTCATCTTTATGAAAAACACATCCTGAATTACAATGTAATCATTCTAATTATAAATGCAATGAAATCTGGCAGCCCTTTATGATTTCAGCATAGTGAAATGTCATAGATGACAACTTACATACACTGAATTTTATCTTCAAATCATCATAGTCATTTGTTCTGCACATAATCAGCTCAACAAATCCAGAATTACTCTGCTTTAGAAGTCATTTAGAATATAGAATATTTGCTTTAGATTTCTGGGGAATGAACATAATGTTCACAGTTAAGCAAATGGCATGCTCGGCACATGAAGTCCAGGCATCTTAACAGAATACAAGCTAAATGAAGAGGCTGAGCAAGATTTGGTAGTTAAACATGGAAAGCAGACATGTGCTGCATAAATTACAATTAACAACATTAATATTGCTGCACTTGAAAAATACTACTCTGTACTTTTTAAAAAATTAAAAAAGGGGTAGACAAACTTTTCATGAAACTTTGGAAATCACTGGCCTTTGATATCAAAAGAACTGTACTGACATAGTTACATAGCAGGAAAACTGGTGGCAAGATGAAACAGTTGACAAATTCAGCATTTGAGCAGTATGCCATTTTTACAGACTATAGTAAGAATCAACACTTGATGTTTTACCCTTATACAGATTGCAAAAAGAGGAAGCAAAARCTACAGTTATTGGAATTTGGTTTCCTCTCTATTTATGTTAATGGTGTAAAGTGCATTTGCCATTTAGATCAAACTGACATTTGTAAACTTGAACAAATAAAAAATGAGTATTTTAAAAAAGTAAAGCTGTTTAAAACAAGTTAGTTTTTTCAAAAGGGAAGGATACAGTACAAGCTTCATGAATCAGTTGCAAGAACAAGAACTACAAGTCTTATTTTTGTAATAATGATTAAACAGAGCAAGATTCCAGCATTCTGTTTTGTGTTTTGTCCTCAGTAATTCATATCTGTGAAATAAAAATAAAAGATGCTCTGGTATATGATCACATGACTCTTGTCATGAGGAAAACCAAGAGTAATATGCCAAAAGCAAATTGCTTACTTTTTTCCCTTAAAGAACGTAGGAAGTTAGTTAAATTCTCTCTCTTCTAGTTTTAGAATCTTGTAATTTTTCTCAAGGTGGCCATGGACTGAAATTTCAAATTCAGCTCCTTTTTAGCTTATGAAAGATTTTTTTTTAAAACTTTTTATTTTGGAAAAGTGTAGAAGCAGAAGACTGGTAGTCATTTTCTACAACTTATTTTCTTGTTGGATATTTACAGGCTCTAGGAACATAAGCTTTTGCCATTAAATCTATGCAACCATCTGGAGTTTTGCTTCTGCAAGTCTATAGATACTGCTGAGSATTCCAGTGTTTGTCTTATTTGGGATTCACAGACTTTGTCTTGCTGGAGACACTTGAGGAGAACTGCGTGTTGCGTATGCAGAATGCAGTGCGGATCCACAGCCCTGAGCTCTGCACCAACGTGTCCTCTTTCATTAAGAAGAGCTCTATTCCCTCATTACAACCAGGGGCTATGATAGATGAAGCTGTATTTTCTTCTTGCTAAAGCACAGAATTATCCAAAAGTCCCAGGCCTTTAGTTCAGGCCTCTGCTCAGTTTTGATCATGATATTTTCAAATTTTCTTCTGAACCCAGACTCCCAGACTATCCTTGTAATAGTGCTTGCTTTTTTTTTTTTGAGAGAGGGGAAATGTTCTTCCCATATACAGGACAAGCTTCTTCCTTTTACTTTGTGGAGATGGCCTGTTCCATGAGGCTTCACCAAGTCTCACTTGGTAAGCTTGTGAACGAGCATTTTGTTTGAAACCTGTTTACCAGCTTTGCCTTTTTCTCTAAGCTACTTGCTTAAACATTTTGCTCTTTTCTTAGATTCTTGATTTTGTCTGTTTTTCTTCGGTCTTTGTGTAAGCTCTTCTTTTACTACAGGAAACATGGAGAGACAATGAGACTGAGCTGTCATGGAGCACAATAACATTGTAACATTTTATTGAGGCTTCCATCAGGTCTGGAAATTCTTGTCATGTCCTCAAGGCATTCATATATTTCTTCAAGCTTGCATAGTCTTAATGACAAAAAGAARTCCAATCTTTTAATAAAGCCTTTCTTCCTTATGCCCTCGATAACCCTGTTGTAATTTTGGGTGAACGGTATGAAGAACAGAATGAGCAGAGTCATTCTGACAGAGGCTTCTACATCTGTTGCAGTTAATATAAAATGTACCAGAACTCTTCTGAAGAACTGGTCAAAGTTTTATTAGTTTCAAAATGTCCAGCAGAGATAGGAGGGTGAGCTGTCATTGCTGAGATCCTTCATAGACCCACCAGCTTTCTAATGATCTTTTAAAAATCTAACACAGAGCAAAACTAAAAAYGCTCATTTCCCTCCTTCAGCTAAAATGTTAGTGCCTGCAGGTTATTTTTGATTTCTTAAAGGCCAAGCTACTTTWGATTTTGTAAGAAATATGACCCGACAACATAGTCATTAGACATTTGCCATGGCAATGAATCCASCAATCCTTTCATTTTCTCTAGCCTTCCCTGTCCACCAGATTAAGTGGTCTTTGAAACTGTTATTTTGAAATGTGACCAATTATTATTCTTAAATCTCATTTTTCAAGGTCTTGGAAGTCTTAGTAACTGTTTCTGTGTTGTCAGGACTGTTTTGAGAGGAAAACTGGCACTGTCAACTGTTCCCACCAGAGAGAGATTCATCCTAGGTATTCAGAGGAATTATTGGCATGTGAATGTCCACCTATGGCCTATTTTATGGTGAGAAAGGGAAGAAGTTTCTATATTAGAGTACCACATAACTCGACATAAATATTTAGTTGTCTGCCCATGCTAGCGAAAAGGACTAGCATCTGGATGTGAATTCTTTAGCTGTAAGATATTACAACTGACGCAAGGTCATCTCACCTGTTTCGAGGGTGACTTTTTTTCTTGGATGAGAAAATATAGGACTAKGAGAAGGAAATTATCATCATATTGTTTTCCACTGTCATTTGTTTCTTTTCTCTGATCCTTAGAATGTTTTCTCATCCAATTTACCATCCTGCTTTCCGAGGCAGGTTTGCTGCTCTRTGTGCCATTTTCCTTTCTGCTTGTTTCTCTCATTATGTCAAGGCACTTGGTACTTGACTCTGTGAAGAAAGAAGTTCCACTGAGACTTATAGRTCCAGGAATTTATTCACTGATATTTCGCTTCCTTTTTCTCTTTTTCTGGTGGGAGGAGTCATCATGCTTGTCCTTGAATGTCTCTGTTATTGGGACAGGTGTTGAGGACTGACAGCAGGAATTACTGGTATGTAATTTTCCCATTCATCTATCAAAGGAGTGTCACATTCTTTAGCAGCCAGTACTCGGCTTGATGCTGAGAAAGCATTTTAGAGAGCCCAGCTGCCTTCTCCTCCTTCTTTATTTTATAAAAGTTGGCTTTGGTGACAACTTTATTGGATAAGCCAAGGTGCACTATGTCAGTGATGGTTTTGAATCTTCTGCCTTCTTTATTGATTCAAGTTTTGGGACAAGGTCTCCCACTTTCTTCTGTACTTACTACTTTTATAGGGAAAGTAGTAATATTTACATATTTATCATATTTACTAGGAGTATTCTTAGTATTATATAATTAYAATTAAAATACTTGTTGAAATAGTCTGTTCTTCCTTCACACTGCTAGACTCAACAGTCTAGATGATCTCTACATTACTAAAGTTAAAATTAATAATGAGATTGCAGATCTGCATTGCTGTTTTAAAAAATGTACTGCAAAA